TATATATATATATATATATATATATATATATATATATATATATATATTCATTCAACCTTTATTTAGACAGGTTAATCCCATTGAGCCTCATTTATATATATACATGTATATATGTACTGTACATACACTTTGTAGGTACAGTACATATATACATATAGAAGTGATATTTCAAACATCTGGACATTTTCATTTACTCTTTAAAAAAATATCTGCACTTAACAAGAGACCAGAAGTTGTAATCAAACTGCAAATTTTTTGAGAAATGTTTTGGGCAATTTCTCCGATATTTGTGTGATAAAGCTAAACTTTTTATCTTTAATGTTTCTTTAATCCCGAACCAGTTACAAATGACGCCACCATTTCCCCTCGATCTTACGCTCATGAATTAGACAATCATCCCTCTGAATGACTGCAACCCCTTCCCCCCACAATCACCCTCCTTCCCCTCCTCCCCCTCTCTTCTAACTCAAAGCTGGGGACCTTACCTTTGTCTGGACCAAGCCAGCTCTCTGGTCTCTCAAGTGCTCCAGGGTAGCGGCAATATCAATCTCTTTAGCACCTGCAACAGAGCGAAAATTGGACTGAGTTCAAAGCGGCGGAGTAATCCAGCTCACATCTGTCAATCTCTCTTTTTTTACTGCACTCCCTTTGGAACAGAGCGCCGAGTGAAAATTATTACATTCATCCCTCAAACGACTTGGATGGGGGCCACTGACTGTTTCTTGATAAAATATGCAATATATATATATATATATATATATATATATTTTTTTTTTTTTTTTGAGGGGGAAGAAGGAGTTTTTGGAAACTTGTATTCGAACGTATACCACGCCCTGCCTTCTCACATTCGATAATTGGTTTAGAAGATGACGTCCGACTGGAGAGGGGTGCCCGCATTTGTGCACAAATCTGAGAATCGCCAATTAAAATGATTTGCAGCAGCTCCGCATCGCTCGTTTTGACGATTAACCCGCGCAACAGTTGCTCCAACTGTAATCAGCTGCCTTTGAGCCTGTGATTCTCATCTGGAAATACCTTCTAGGACAGATTTCTAGATTGCACGCAAGCCCGTTGAAAACAAGAGAGAAATGCAAAAAGTCTGAAGATGCTTGACAGTAAAGCGGAGAAAGAAAGAGTACGAGAGGGAGAAAATGAATGTATGCATGTGTGTGGGTGAGTCAGTGCAGCTGGACGTTGTACTCAAAGGTACTCCGGCACTTCGACTAGACTTTCATGTCTTAAGATGAGCTGGAATCCAAAGTAAAGCTCAGAAGAGGCTCTCCAACCAAAGTAAAATAACAAAAAGCTTTGGAGATTATGCACATTTGATTCCAGCTGCAAGAAACAAAAGGTTAAAAAGAGAGAGGAGAAGGTTTTCATCTCCAAAGGCTACTGCACATTCGTCACTGAGCTACTCCAGCTCCATCAGGACGGGTCGGTCTTATTGCAGGCAGGAGCTGCAGCCAAGGCAGGCAGCCTTTTCACCCATTCTGGTACTCACAAGAAGGAGCGCAAAGAGGAGAGGGTAAAGGGCAAAGGTCGGAGGCCAAAGAGCAGTCTGAGGCAGGGACGAACACAGTTCTGGAGTGACAATAGCTGTTTATAACTTGGATTTCTCAAAAGAATTTGAGTGAAATCTAAGTGTTTATTCATGCACAATAATAGTGCTTTTCATGTGATGTAAAAAAAAAAAGAAAAATTCAGAAGATTTTTTTTTCACACAGCAGCTAAAGATTTAGCAACAACGTTCAAACTGCTCCTGCTCAGATATGCTGGTTTCCTGATTTTCCACACAGCTTGTCTTTTATTATATATATTTTTTATTTCTGCCTAGCATAAATGCGCCTCGCAAACTTCGAGCATGCTAGCAACGTTCACGGTGTAGTGCGCATTTGTGTAAATCTGGGAGAACATATCAACATTTGTCATGTTCAGAAAAACAAAACAAAATCAATGTCGGAATCAAATAAGCGCAAAGTTCCCATTAAATATTAAATATTGATTTGCACCGCTGGAGCAAATAGCCAATTTTTAATATATGTTTTCATGAAACATTTCATTTCCATGCATGTGCTATCTATATTCATGTTGCAGCTGCTGATGCAGGTCAATATGATGCGAACGTTGCCTAAATAAATAATTATTAATGTGGGTGGAGTTTTTTTTTTTTTCATTTCCATTCCCCTGCTTTCTCTTTGTTCTGCCTCTGTCTTCGCTGTCTCTCCAGGCCTCAGAGAAGTCACCCTCTAATGCATCCCCAAGACCCTCTACAAAAAAACGAGAGGCTTTCCCGTTGCCAGGGCAACACTTCAAGCAGAGAAAGCGAAAGAGAAGCCATTGATCGTTACCTTTAGCCATCCTATTGAGGACCATGTCAATCAGAATGTAAGTCCCGGTCCTGCCAGCTCCGTCACTGCAGACAGTCAAGAGACAGACAGAGATCATTAAGGCAGCAGCATGAGATGCTTTAATCTCTGAGTGTTTTGCTTTATTATAAAACAAATTACTCATTTACATTTGGCATCTGGTGGGAGACTTTCAAGTATGTTTGAACTCAAATTGGTCCATGCATGCAGACATGCACCTTATTTTGCGTAGAACAGGACAACATGAAATAAAATACTTTAAAAAGCTAAAAATTATTAATAATCCCTTACATTTTCCTAGAATTTATTATTAATTTTTTTTTTTTTATAAATGTAATTATGGTAAACCTTCACACACAAGTGCATGTGTGGTCTTGAGAGTGGCTGTTGGAAAGAGGGGGACGATTTCTAAGGCACGCTGGGGACAAAAGCTTTTAAATGCATGCACCTCAGGAGCAGAGGAGAGGTTGAGAGGCCAGGGGCGGTTTGAGAACCGCTTTTGGAGAGCCTTGCTTTTCCATTACTCCAGAGATAGCCTCATGAAAAGCCTCTCTTTGTGCCCGCCGGCCATTCAGCGGCTCTACATGTTAATTGCAAACAAGGCGTGGACATCGTTCTAATAAAGGCAAGGCCAAAAAAAACCAAAAAAAAAAAAAAAAAAACCAGGAGAGCTGCCCGAGTGCCACAGCTTCATTAATCCGTTGCTAGATCCTCCAGTCCTCAGAGGGAGAGCAGGCTTACTGGCCCCATGCATGACTTAACAGGATGTGAGTATTAAAAGTGGTCCAACAGATACCTGGTGTTTAAAACGAACCAATCAAGGCCAGTTAACTAACTCAACCAAATGGGAAATAGAAGAGTCTATCACTCTGTGACACTGTGCCACATTATTTACATAAGAAGCAGCTTCAGTGGTTCAGACAGAGAAAATGGACTGAGCGGGTTTAAACAAACAGCCACGACAAACACTCTGTCTCAGTTCAGCAGGGCGAGCCACTTTTACAAAGTCCAAACAGTTATACTTGCCTGCAGTGAACAATGATCGGGCAAGATCGGCCCCGGTAGCACTTGTTGACCTTTCTGCAACAAAAGCAAAAGGAGAAGACTTGATGTTACTGCAAGCTCGACAGCACGAGACCTTCAAACGCTGCAATGTCAAACTCCGATTTAGCTTTGGCTGAATAAGAACAGTGAGATTCACAGCAAATGTGACTCATGAGGGACTTCTGCGCTGTCGAGTCTGGGTGAAACTAATGATAATCAAAGCAAGGAATCTGCGAGAGCTGCTTCCTCCTGTCAGTCACTCAGTCATTTCAGTTCGAGCGCAGGAAGACGACGAAAGTGCGAGGAAGATGGAGAGAGAAGCCCGTAAATAAAGCTGGCGTCATTTCAGCGACAGTTAGATCTCTGTGACGTGTGATGGACGTGATGGTGGTGCGATGTTGTGATTACAGACCGCTGACGCATTAACCCCGGCCAATTATGAATGTTTTACACCGCAGGCACGGCGAAGGCCAAGAAGCCTTTTCACACCCCACTGTTACCATGGAAACTGACTACACTGAGAGCTCCCTGCAGCAGCTCACCATTTTCCTACAATTTTTCACTTTTCCGTTAAAAAAAACACCCAACTATCTCAATAAATTGAAACTTTGCATGATTTATTTAAAAAGTGCAATTAAAAGGCTGTGAAATTTGACCTTTTTGTGATTATGATTTATAAATTAGGCAACGGATATTTTGCAATAACTTTTTGCTCTGCAATTTTTTTTTTTTTTTGCTTTAAGATTTACAACAGTATTAAAGCACTTGAATGCCTAAAAGTGTAAAAAAAAACCTTTGAAAATACATGCACCCAAGTCAAATCAAATCAAAGCACGTCCTTGGTCAGACATCATACAGGGATGGTTGGAGCTCCCATGCAGGCCAGAGGAAGGAGCAGTGAAGAGGAGGGAATGGGAATCAAAGAGTGGGAAGTGAGAGAAAGACGGTGTGTGCCCAGGCCTGGCTGAGGAGACACAGTTTCCAATGATCACTTTTGTGACTATGCAACTGGGCTCATATTACTAGCTGCAACATCACAAAAATGACACTGGCAACCGCAAAATACCAACTTGGCCAAAACCACAAAAACCGTGAGTGTTGGAGAGCACATAGTGTGGATCTGAGACCTCTGAACGCTTCATCAGATACAAAACACCCTGCAGCAGCATTAGGAAGTCTAGGCATGACAAATAAATAGCTTAGTGTGAGCTGCACTCAAGTTTAGTTTGGAAAAGTAACACCAGCTCTGTCAGAAAAGCATAAATCTCTCATCTGCATCGGAAACCAAAGACTTCCATCCACAAATCAGATGCATCTATTCTCATTCGGAGGGCTTTTCCTTTTCCCTCCTGGGTTTTCTCAGAGGAGCACTGCTGCTCTTCTGCCAGAACACATTATATGAAGAACAGAGCGAGGTTGTTCAGTCACCCCCTCCCCCCCTCCCGTGGTGAGACAGCTCTCACTTAATTGGGTGTTTGAATCAGGTGTTTTATTATTCTTTCTTTCTTTCTTTTGTTTCTTCCCAAGCCAAGCCAGGCAGTGCTGTTAATTTGCTGCATCACATGTGCTGGAGGGAGGTGAGGGAGAACGGCCTGGGATGAAAGGAATGGGTACAGAGACGGGGTTCCTTATTAGAACAACCATTATCCAAAAGGCATAGAGAGGTGGTAAAATAAAGGGGGAAGGACCGAAGAGGCACTGACAGAATGCAGACTATAAGGGGGAGGCTTGAAGAACAAGCATGGACTAAAAGGTCAGTAGTAGAGATGTTGGAAAGGATCTGTCCCTCTGAGGGTCTCTTCTCTACCTGCGGAAGTCTAACAAGGTCCTGGCTGAGCTGGGGATACCACGGTCCATCCAGGACAGGAAGTGGAACTGGGTGACGGTGCGAGTCTCGTTGGTCTGCAGGTTTTTCAAGTAGAAGCTCCGCACCAGGAAGTCCTCACACCAGATGTGCTCGGACACCAAATTGACCTAAATGTAAAGAAAAGTAAAACGGGATAAGTGTTTGCATCATGTTAGTAAAAGAGTTGGTTCATCCGCGATCGAGAAACTTTGATTTTTGTGACTCGTTTTTGGGGACTCTGGCCAGGCTGCATAAAAATTCAGTTTCAGGGAGCTGCGTTTGTTTTCGTTGACAAAAGTTTGCAAGAATTTTTACATAATTATAACAAGACCTCCTGCTGTAGTGTAATAGTTTGTGTGCTCTCCTTTACTAAACTAGAACAATTTTGATAGCAAAGTCAGAAACTAAGAAAATGTGAAAATAGTTTATTCCTTTTGATTGTGAATAGGCTTCAGCGCTAAACTATAACAATGAATATACTTTATGCTTCCCCTTTGATTTGTTATTTGAAATGATGGCATCTGAATGCTTTATCGAAGAACATTTTGAGTGTTTTTGTTCCAAGGAATTTAAGAATAAGAATTTTCCGTTCATGTTTACGTATTCATTTTAGTTTTGCTCTTCCATAATTTTTCTCAGAATAACTAAAAGCTGTTCACATGAAGGTCAGATTCAAAAATTTTAAACATTAAGTTAAGACTAGCTCTGTGTATCGTCTGTTAAAAAATAAATTATGAGGAAGCACAAAACATGAAAGAGGCTCCTAAAAGGAAACAGTAATTTGTACGGAGAAATGTGTACTGCAGGTTTTTTTTTTTTTTTAGACAGTGTCTCACTTGGCTGGAACTGATGGAGAGTAGATCAAGATTGTGAACAATAGGCTAATTTTCAGTTGCAGTTTCACTGAATCGTGAAGTGTTTGTCACCAAAAAACCAGTGAGCATTGCTTGCAAAACTAGATTCAAGCCTGTGCACATTATGCCGTTGGCCACCTCTGCCCACATTGGCAGCCACTCCCATGTTTATGATTTATTCTACTTGAGTACAGCAGTCCCTCGTTTATTGCCGAGGTCCCGATCCCCCTGCGAACCGTAAAGTAGGGATAGTAGTACAAGGAGTAGTGATAAGTAGTAGTTTATTTTAGTATTTACATATATATATATATATATATATAGAGGCGTTTTAAACCCTTCCCACACTTGCAATAGTCTAAACAATGTTTCTAAACTCTAAACGCTCTAAAAGAGCACAGAATGTCATGATCTACGCTCTCTGCCACGCCCACTTCTCCGCTGCAATCGATGGCAGGTGGTGGAGATATGATGCTGCAGGAGGGAGTTTCTCCCTGCACCTGTGGGCTGCACACAGGTGCAGCAGGTGCTAAATAATTTAAAATATTTATTTTAAATAAACAATCCATGTTGCTTGTGTGGCTCATCCATCAATCAGCCAATTGTGCGTCATGTCCAATCTTACTTTGAAAAACCACAAAAGAGCGAGTCTGTGGAAGTCGAACCGTGAAGTAGCGAGGGACTACTGTACATATTTTAATCAAGGATAAGCAAATTTGGATCAGTCTTTGAATACTAATTATTCTTAATCAATGTGTTTTATAAACCCAGTCATTTGGAGCTGTAGCCTCAGGTGTTAATAGGCTTAGGCGGCACCTGTGCAGGTGTCAAAATACAGACTTAGTGCTCTGGAAGTTATGGAAACTAAATTTAGGAGGGTTTGAGATGCTCGCAACAACTCTGTGACTATTTTAACATGTTCAATATTCAATAGACTCACGTAAAGATAAAAGGCAAGCAATTTCAGATATTCTGGAGACTCAAAATGTTCAAGTTAGTGATGCTAACTGCGCAAGCTCTGCTAAACATTTAGTCAAAGATGGTAAAGACATTATAAAAAAATGTATATATATATTTTTTGTTTCTATTTCAGAAAAAGAGCAAACACTAAATTTTACTATAAAAATGTACTCAGCGTAGCAACTTAAAACATGTATATCCTAATGTATACTTCTACTTACATTCACAAGTAGAATGGGATACACAACAACCTCTATTGATTACCGGTAGTTGATTGCAACCAATTTATTTTAACTTGTAGATATCTGGTGACAAACTTAAAGTCTTCTTTTTCTTAAAGTCTAGTTTGCATCACGAGAAGTCGTCTTTATTTTTCCAGCTGTACCGGTTTTTTACCATTTTTTGCATACCTCATATACGTGGTAGACATCTGATCCTTCATCAGGCCAGTAGTGGTGGCACTGCTTCACTCCGTTTTCTGACAGAGGTGTCAGCATGACGACGACGACGCAGCCACTCTCCCACACCATCTGCACATGAAAAAAAAAACCACATATCCATCTAACACATGAGGAGACAACAAATTCCCTCATATGCATCCGTATGAAATTCAAATAGCACTAATATGTAGCTGAACTGAGCGGCCGGCATTTCAAACTCAAGTCGTGTATTGGAGTGAAATTGATTTCTTGATCTTCGTGGAGGAAGTATGAATAAATGTCACCTCTGTGTGCGTGACAAATGATAAATGCCGGGTGGAGCAGCAGGAGGGCGCCTCTTTTCGCCCTCTCTCAGTCGTCTGAGCGAGATCACAACATCTTCTGCACGGCTGCTCCATTTCATCTTATCACAATCTAATGTGTCCTTGGAAAGAAATAGAGGCCCACTGGCAGCCATTAGGAAAATGAGGAGGAAACGCAGCTTTTATGATTGCTATAAAAACACAATGGCCTTGACTATACACTAATCACAAGCTTCTGTGATCTGGCCCAGTGGACACATTACGCGCCAACTGTGCCAACTGTGCCAGGATGTGATGAGATTAGGCAACGTGATGATGTGAAGGAATATTATCCATTTAGTCTTGTATAACTGTGCTAATATTTGCAGGTAGTGGGGTAAACGTGGATTCCCATGTTTCATCCCCACCTAGAACAAGCATCTTTTCTTTCCAAAAATGTGATTAACAGTTTCTAAACTCCAAAGACCATTCATCAACTCCTAAAAACGCCTGACTTTTGCTTCCTAAACTCACACAGATTGGCTCTTAATTCGGAGAAGAAGCCAAGCCCAGCAGAGCTAAGGTAATAGTGGGGGAGATGGACAGATGAATGGATGGATGAAGGAGTAACGTAAAGGATGAAGGGATGGAGGAAGAGGAGCAGAGGATTAGAGCCAAGCTGCCTTTCAGAGCAGTGCCTGGGGCTGGAGTGGATTAGGTAGGGGAGAGCAAAAAGATTTGCCTCTTGCACGCTCCATTTGTTTGTTTACTTTTAATGGGGTCTGCCACAATCCAAGGTTGGCCATACTGAATAATGAATAGCTACTACCAATTTCCAACCAAAATGATTTCAAGAATATCAGTCAAACTTTTTATTTTGTGCTCAATTTGGAAAGATTCAGAGTCCAGTTTGTGACTAAAGGACAGTTCAGATGTTTTGACATGGGGTTTTGTGAAAAATTGCTAACAAATGCTGGGGTGGGTTTAAAGATAGGCAACAAACTAATGTGCATGGCATAGAATTCCAATTTGAAAAGGGTGCACAGAAAAATTGGCCATAAATTAAAAAAAAAAAGCCGCACAAAGTCACTGGTTTTATGGTTGCAAACACAAGACTTCACATGACAATTTGTTGCAGTTTTGAGTTGCCAATTGTTCTCTAACACTTGCAACCTAGAATGGCTTTAGTTATAGCAGAACCTTCTAAACATTTTTCATATTGGAGAAAAAGTCTTTATTTAAGGCTGAACTGACAAGCTATGTGCTGCTGATTATCCATGCTGCCGATCTCATACTCATCTAGACTCATGTTCGTGCTGCTGTTGTTCAGTGTATTGTTTTAATATCAGATCTTTTAGCGTACCGTTGGGCGTTCCTTTAGCGTACATCTTAGTGTATATCTTAGATCCTTATTTACTGTTTCTTTTTACACATTATATTTTTGTTATTGTTGGATGTAGCTGGGACCCTGTGTATGTAACCCATGCTACTAAAATACATTAAAAAGAAACAACAATATAGCATATTTCACACGATCAATAAACCCTTCCCAGATTGGCCAATACTGCTTGGTGGAAAAACAATTTCGAGAGCTGAAAAGGGGGCGTTGGCATTTGTTTTGGTGTCTGTTGGCTCCAGCTGTGGCTGCTGGATGAAGACTTGGTGTCCTAAGCAGAACTGGCCAGCGATTGCTCTTCAAAATCCATAGCAACATATAATCTTACCTTTGACTCAGCGGTCAGGTTTTTTTTTTTTCTACCTCGAAATAAAAACTTAACTGAACAGATGGTGAGCTGGTAGGACCTTTTTCTTTTTCTTCCCTTTTGATCTTTTCCAGATTGGATTATAGTCCTGGGAGGACACAACTGAACTTTAGAAAAGAAAGAGAATCACAAGGAACTTTGGAAACAAATACAGTGGTCCCTCATTTATCGCGGGGGATCCGTACCCTGAAGACCCGCGATAAGTGCAAAAAACCGTGATGTAGGAAAATAAGTACAAGTAGTAAGCAGTAGTAGCTCCCTGCTTCCTCTGCTCTTTACCATCTGCAAGCACTCTTGGCCACGCCCACTTCTCCGCTCGGCACGGTGAACAGCTGATCAGCTGCAGCAGGAAGTTTATCCTGCAGTATGGGCTGCACAAATGGGCAGCAGGTGCTAAATTATTTTAAACGATTTATTTAAAGTAAAAATTCCATGCCAATCGTGCAGTTCATCTATCAATCAGCCAATTGTGTGCCATGCCTAATTTTATTTAGAAAAACTGCGATATAGCGAGTCCGCGATAAACGAACCGCGAAGTAGTGAGGGACTACTGTATAAGCACAAAGAACTCTGAAACAAAGTCTTGAACAGACTTTTTGAACTGAAATCGGGGACTGCAAATGAAGTGCTCTGAACATTTATTGTGAATTATTGAATTGCATGATAAATGCTTTGAGCAGTTATTCCCTGCATACTGTGGCTAAATTGAGCATATATATATATATATATATATATATATATATATATATATATATATGTATGTATATTAGGTGTATACTTTCTTTGTTGTCATTTGCTTTTCTTTCATAATTAATACACTTTTCGATTTTTCCCATTTGCTGTGTTTAATGATCATTATTCACTTTAATCAGGCTCTATCAAGAACTACTCTTCTGTGTTCCGGTCATTTGTGTTCATTAGCATTGCGTTGTCCATTAGCCCAAATAAAACTTATAAATAACGGTTCATATATTACACTGAGTACACAATTTCTTCCCACCTCATGTCCCTTATGTGATGCAAATGACATTAAAGAACCTTGAAGCTAATCGCTAATCTGAGCAGGGCTAGCTATAAAGAATCAACTTTTGCACAAACTGCTGTAAAGTGTTTCATTGGAGTTGCTTTAAAATGGGTGAAATCCACTGTGGTCCTCAGTTCAAATTGTTAGCTCTATTACATCTACAACAAGTTCATAACCGTTTCACAGCACCTGACTTTAAAACATGTGAACTATTGCTTCAAGATAAAAAAATAAAAATAAAATGGAAGTGGCAGAGGAAAACACGGACACAGACAAGTTTTACTTAAATTTTAAATTTCAATAAATATATTTTTGCCAATTAATTAAAAAAACAAACAAATGAGAACAAAACCTGCGAGCGGTTTGGAGGTTTAAAAGCAAATTTATTTTGGTGTTATTTAAACGTGACCACGCTGTTCTCTTCAAGTCGCAGCTTCTAAACTCAAACTCAACCGTAATGCTCAGACCATGATGCAGAGTAAAGTGGAGGAGCAGCTGCTCCGCCACAATTTATGCCTCACACTTCTGCACCCTGGTTACGGCTATCTAGAGCTCCTTCACCATATGGAGGTGACGGACCCACTAATTACTACAGTGCTGTCCTATTAGCACAGAGGAATGCTATTTGGCAAGCATGCCCCATTTAAGGCACACTTCCACACGAGTTGACGTGTTTTACAAAAGCCCGTAGATGCTAATTAATGGCATGTTGCTTTGACATTTATGGACGAGGGGAAGCATGCAAATAGCTTTGAGAAAAACTGCAAATATGAGCAAACAACACTTTTACCAGCATCTATATTAGTTGCACTAATTTTGATTTGAGCTAAAAGAACGCAATTTTCTTACGCCATAAACAGATGCTTTTTATATCTTTGCTCCAGAGAGAGATTCTGTTTTACAACCACAGTTAGTAAACAGGAAGTTAATCAAGAGATGCATGATCTAAGCTGTTTCTGTACCTTCATTTGTCTGCGGTTTGTGAAACTGACACTGTCAAAGCACACCAAGTTAGTTACTTTTAGCTGCTGTTTACTGCAGATTCTGAAAAATCAATTATCACTTTAAAATTGTGGCGAAACAGAGATAATGATATCCTCTGTAAAGTGTGAGACTCAGAACTTCTGCTACATTACTTCACTAATCCTCACTAATTTGCGAACTCCTTCTAGCACTGAGAATCAAAAACACAGAGTGCAGTCATGTTGCTTTGGTTTTTTATTTTTTTGCATTTGAAAAAAGATGAAATGAGGAAGAGCAGATGAGTCCTACCTGCCAGAAATCTGCCACAGTGGAAGCAAGAGGGCCTTGAGAGGCGATGTAGGTGGGATTGCGAGGATCGTGGTCCATCTGGGGAAAAAAGGAGCCATGTTATAATCCAAGATTATTTTTAACTGAATTCAACCAGTGCAAGGTGCATACATGAAAAAACAAAAATATATATTATTAAGTAGAAGTAACTGTTGTCTGGTATTCTGTTGCCTTTTTAAAAATATTACAGTACCACAGAGAAGGTAGAAGTGCATAAAATTATTCAACTGATTTACACGAAACATAAGTAAAAATCATATAAAACTACCATGTTGACTTACAGTATATATTGGATAATCTGCCACTCAATTGATTTGTAAGAAAATATTTCTAAAAATTGTTTGAGGAAGAAGAAATCTTCCATTAGGTAAAAAAAAAAAGTCACAGTTTTTCATTTTTAACTTATATTAACTTGTATTTAATCCTAAAAAGCAACTTGACTGTGTCATTTTTCCTTATATAGCTGCATTTCACTTTTCTTTGTGTCTTTCCTAAACCCATTTCCTTTTAACACAAACATTAAATTAACAATAATTGTGTTCAAGTTCAAGATTCTTTATTGTCGTTCTCATCACGTGGTGAATGGGGTGGAACGAAATTGTGTACTCAAGGTCCCAGTTACATGCAAAAATAGCAAAAATATACAGTATTAAATAGAAACAGTACACAAGGATTTAAGATATATGTTAAACAATAATACTGTACTAAATACAGTGCATTAAATGCTTATAATTGGGTTTTACATGCCATTTTATTTTACTGTTATACTTTTCTCCCTTTGTGTTAAATATCTGAAACTACTGGAGTAAGTTTTAAATGCTTTGAAAGCTTTTTAAACTAATAAAAAAAAAATCTAATTGGATTTTTCATCTGTTTTACTTTAGTTGATAAAAAGTCACGGTACATTTTTATTATAATCAAACATTGTGGAAATTACAAGTAAGTCTGAGCAGAAACAGAGTTATTTTCAATTATAAACATACTAATGTATTATAGTGTACAGCTTTATCTCTATACATTACTTTTTTGTAATTAGTCTTTAATTTTGCAACATTGAATAAATTGTGCAAGAGGGGAGAGGGGTTGAATTAAAACATTAGAGAATAAAAATGTAAAAATGTTCTGAGGAATTTCCAAAAATACCACAAATGAGGGAAATATTTAGCTTTTTAGTCCTCAATGAACCATAACGATGTTGTTCAGTTTCTTCCCTTCATCCTTCCTGGTTGTAATTCCTTACATGGATTAGACAAAGAAGAAGAAGAAAAATCTCCCCCACAGAAATAAAAGGGTGATGCCGAATGCTAGCCAGTCCTTTCAGCCAATCTCAAGGACGCAGACATGCTGAAGCTGTGTGCTCACATCCCGACATGAATACTAAAGTGGAAACATGAAAGCGTAGTCCTGCATTTCAGCTGTCCTCCCCTCGCCATTGTGGGGGAGACGATAGACTGCAACAAAAGAAAAATGCAAAGGAGTGCTCTTTGGCTTCAAGTAAAATAGCTGGTACAGGAAGAAAAAAATAAAAGCTCAGAGAAAGGGAGAAACGTCTCAACTTTTAGAGCCCGTGTCTTGATTGGACATTAAATGGTTGCTGAGCTTATCACAGTATGAGAATAATCGTTTGAGTTCACTCTCAGCTACGACCATACCTAATTTCAGCTGAATATGGCAACAAATCAATGAGTTATAGTCATTTTTTTTTAACTTTAAGCTATGGTAGCCATCTTGGATTTTTGATTTGCAACCAGAGTCTGTTAGGGCTTGTTCTCAGCTACCAAGACACCAAATTTCAGCTAAATAGCTCTAAAAACCTCTGAGTTATATTCATTTGAAATTAGCTTTGGCAGCCATCTTGAAATTTTAGATTTGAATTCAGAGCCTGTTGTGCATCACTGTCAAGTACCAACACACCAAAGTTCAGCTCAGTATCTTTTAAAATAGCTGAATTACCATAAGTTTCATTTTTAATTTGCATTAGGAATTTATAACAACTCGCTCTCAGCTACGACCATAACACATTTCAGCTGAATATCTCAAAGAATGACAGAGTTATAGTGAATGTTCTGAGGTAGCTGTGGCAGCCATCTGGAACCCAAATGGCTCCAAACGTTAATCAGTGTTGCCATTCCCCGATCTGTTACGGAAGCACGATTCGTAGTGTCAGCTCATTCACGCATGCGCTAAAAGTAACACTTCCAGGTCGCACCGAATGCTGTTGAATATGCAAGATTAGGGAAAATGTACTGGAAATATCCTGTAAGCTGATTTAATACAACACATATTAATAAAATATATTTATGAAACATACCATATTAATTAAAATATCTCTTTTATATAAATTGATTAATTTTCCTAGACAATGTTATAATTCCATTTATGAACAAGAACTGTCTTAATTTACTTAGAAAAGTACGATCTTCGTAATGCTAATTTACGCAGCTCGTATTGCCGTTAAAATCACTGACATATTTACGTCATTGGTTAAAATGATATGCGACGGGCTGAATGAGAAAACCCTGCAAGATACAGAATGAATTATTTCCATGGTGAAACAGCGCCACTCTGTGGTGAAGTTGCGCTACATCACCCTAAAAACAATTATTTACCCTAAATATGCATCGCCTATCATTTTAACCAATGACGTGAATATGTCAGTGATTTTAACGGAAATACGAGTGGCGTAAATAAGCAACATGAATATCGTACTTTTCTAAGTAAGTTAACGGCGATCCGTGCGACCCGGAAGTATTACTTTTAGTGCACGTGCAAATGAGTTGACACTACGGATCGTGCTTCCGTAACAGATCGAGGAATGACGAGTGTTTTGTCCAAAGACCTCTCCACTCGGGGTCATGTGACCTCACTGTGGCAGTTAGAGGCTGTTCAGAGTGAAAAATGGCAAATTTGTTTGTAAATTACATCGCCATGGTAACTCTAAATGCCAAAAAATGTAAGAGCACACATCACATACATACATTTTGCGTTTCGGGCCACATTCAAGTTGAAGGAAGAGTAAGACCCTTGTCAGGTGGGTAATAATAGGTGGCTGCCTTTCTAAGCAATCCTAAATTATGGAAGAACCACACAACTTTTGTAAGGAAATAAAAGAAGACCAATATTGGTATTATGGTACATTCCTCCAAAGTGATCCTAATGATGCTGCTCAAATGGGAGTGGTCAAACGTTTGCTATTATAATCAGGTTTCTCACAGTATGGATGCCCGTCCCCCACCCCTCGCGCCCCAGGGAGTGAAGATCACCCCCCTTCACTTCCCCTTTCTGAACTCACATCCCCAGAAAAACAGAAGTGGCAGATTATTTACTCGTAAGGCTGTGGCCTCTGAAGCTAATGAGGAGGAAGACGCCACACTGACAGACGTAGCTGTCACAGGTTTGCTTGGCTCAGGCGGGGGTCTCTTTTGTGGCACAATTATTGCCCTTTTGTCCTCTCACCGCTGCATCACCCACCTTCAACGTTTGCATTTCAGCTTCAACTTTTACACAGATCTGAACCAATTATTGGGCTTTTTTTGTACATGGAGCAGTGCTACTCTCTGAAAGTGAGTTTGCGTAAAAAAGGAGGAATAAATCAGCATCTGCGGGTCTCCATTGTTTGTTTCTGAAGAGTAATGGCCTTTTAGAGCAGCTGCGTGCGCCCCTCACCCCCACCCCTCATCTGTCTCCTCAGAAATTTTGGCACTGGATTTGAAATGCATAGCTTCCTGCTCTCTTTGATGGAATCCCTTCTCAGCAGCCTCTGGGGAAATCATGACTGACAATGTTTTGGTGGAAATAAAAAAAATACAAAACAAAACATGCACACAGAAATAACCCTCTCTAACACTGAGCTCTTTCTGTATTTGTTGTGATTATATTTGATCAGTCAAAAAAAAAAAAAAAAAGTAGATTTTGAAATTTTTTTTTGGTTAAGATGAAATCAAGGATTTGCATTCAACAACATCAAGAAAATTCAACATGGATTAACAATAAGTACGCAACAAAATATAGATTTTGGAGGAGTCAAATTCAGCAGTAATCACAATAAGGCTTCAGAAATGATTGATTAAAAAACACAAAGCCACAATTAACAATACTCACGATTGGACTTGCATTGATGTAATCAGAGTTGACGTGGTTATTCTCTGCTTTCAAGGTGATCCGAGAATGATCATCTGCAACGAAGGTGCATAATTCATCTGTTTGTGTTGCAACACTCCCTGCACAGCAACGACACAGATCTGAAGAGCAACGCAGGAATATAAAACCTAAAGGAAGTGCAGTTTCACCGGACTTTCATCAGACACTGCTCCAAACTTCTGTTTCAAGTGAAAAAAGTAACTTTTATCTTAAGATATTCTTACATTTTTATCTTAAGAAGCCTCAAAGTTGTAATCTCTAAAATCCCCCTTTTATAGAAACAAATTAAACTGCCTCAAGATTAATATTTTGAATTAATTTGAACTCACCTTAGTGCTTTTATTTGCTTCAAATTCAAATGCTCAAAGATTTTCTCTTTCATAAAAACATAAAAAGAAACAGTTTGCTTTATTATTCAAGAGTCTTAGAGGACTGTTTGTGTTTAATCTGACTGACAGTAATCATTAACTGTATTTTGTTTCATCAAGGTGCTGCATGTGCATGTGGCATGTGATTTGATTTTAGACTACAATTCACAAGTCATAAGTTGTAGTTTCATAGCAGTAAACTGTCAATTACAAGGTAGCTCCACACTAAAGAAAGGACATTTCCATTGTGTATATTTAAAAAAAAACTGAACCATGATGTTCGCAGTCACAATAAACAACTATAATTTACAAAATTACATTGTGATGTGTTAAAGACAGCTTAAAATTAGTTGTTGAATTCAACAAGCGTTTTGTGACATGCCCTGAATGAATGAGCTTCATTGGCTTCACTTTTCAGACATAGAGGTTCATCCTATTTTTCATTTTATTTTTTTCGTTTTCATGTCATTTGCTCATAGAATAATTTTTTGTTTTTCTAATTCTTGTTGATATTAGTTTAGATCTTCAAGCTGTAGTTGTTTTCGATGTGAAATACAGAAAAAATTGTGATGATATTTGAGAACTTTTAGAAAACGCGAAACAAATGTTTAGCTAGCTCGTTTAGAGATGTCTGAAGTTGGCAGTAGAGGCAAAATATAAGAATTTAAAATGCAATGTCGAGCAAATGGTAGGCTTAAACATGAAACAAAGCCTTTTAGGGAAACAATTAATCACAGTTTGGCCTAAAACAGAGAAAATACATTTTTAAATCCAATGTAAGCTAACGTTGGACATGTTTCTAATACAAACATATTCAGGTTTAGCAAAAATCATTCCGTTCCAAACTTTTTTTTTCCCAGTTCTTATTATTTTCCCCAAAAAATAATAATAAAATATGTATGTAAACCCAGATAATTGATATGATTACAATCCAGTGCATCTGTAGCTATGTTTGTTATATTTATTCCACTCACAAATTGTTTGCTTGGCATTCTTGCAGCAGAGACTACATGTATTAAAAAGCAAAGAACAGCAGCTGCCTCTTGTGGTACCCAAGCAAAGTTTGCCCAGCCGGCTGAGGGACAAAGTGATGGATGACAGGGACAAGCAGTTTACAACCTGTAAAGGCTACTCCATAATCATATGCAAACAGTGTTTTCTTCTTGACATAATGAGGAGACGTAGCTCTTCACAGCTGGTGTGGAGCACATTTGTTTTAAAATGTCAACTAAAGTATGGACATTAAGGTTATTTTGTGTACACGGTGTAATGTTGGAAGGACAATAATAAAATATCACATTTGTGTGTCATGCATTTGAGTAAGATAATTATGAAAACATCATTTTGAACAAATCAAAAGTATTGTTGAGTAACTATTAAAATATTTGCACCAGCGGAACATATAAATTCATGTTTTAATGCTCGTGTTTGAATTGCTCAGGTACTTTTAATGCCTTGTTTCGTTTGTTTACCTGTTAGTTGTTCTTTGGAGCCTCTGATTAAAACATATGTGATGAAGCAACATGGTTGAATACTTTCCTGCAAATAAAGGACATACAACCGTCTGCTTGGACTTACATACGACCACAGCGTCGGAGCGGTTCCTCTTGGAGTTCTGCTCGCCGTGGCCAACGCTGCAGGTGCTGGGCTCGGCCTGGTAGGAGCACATCGCCTCCCACTCACGCTCCAGACGGTTCTTGTTCTTCAAGTGGTCCTCCATGTATGACTGGAGAAAAACAGACACCATTTTAAACAACACACCAGTCTCTCATCTAAACATGTTCCCGCTTTAAATGTATGTTTTGTCAGGATTTTAGACATAACCAAGACTCTTACAGCAAATCATATTTTCATACATAAGGTTTCTGTTAATAAGATGTAATCTATAATTACATATCAACAACAATAAATAAACAAGTAAATCCTCCTTTTAAACCCATGATCAGCACTGAGAGCATTATTATCTTGAGATCCTGTGTATTGTAACAACTGGAAGACGCTGCCGAGGATCAAGGTGTGCTAATGCTGGTATATTTGTGTGTGTGCGAACAAAAACACACACACAATTAAGAGCCCTGAAAGGTTTGTCTGCATTGGAAATACTTCAGGGGTGTTTCAATCATGTCCCTCACTGCTTGCACAGCCGCTGATAAGATTGTCTGCATTTAAGCCGTCGCTTGGAGAAGACAAAATTGAATTCGCCAGAGAGACAAAGATGGAAAAAAGAAAAAGGGGGGAGGGGTGAAGGCCTATTCTGCTAAACCAGGGCAAGTCTTGGGGAGCTTAGAGTTGTGGAGTATTTTTTTCTGCGTGGCAACGTGGCTTCGTTTTCTCTCCTGTATCATGGCTCCCCTCCCGACGGGTGGGTGAAATGGTTCAGTCCGCTTTTGTGCGAGACAGAAGATTACAGACTCATAAACTGATGTCAGGGATCAGCTGGCTAATACAATGACAGTGATACCCAGATGTGCTGGGGTTTTATCCCATATTAAAAGCAGTATATAGGTAGGCTGAGCAGAGAGGTGACACTCCATTCTTATGTCTGATTCATTTGCTCCTTCCTGCCTGTCAAAAGAAATCTTCTGAGAATGCATACAATTAGGATTTTTGTTTTTTTTCTTTCAGCTGCTCCCTTCTTCAGGGGTCGCCACAATGAACTAACTTGCATGAAGACTTGGCAATTATTTTTTATGCCGGATGCCCTTCCTGAGGCAACCACAGACCACCGAGCTACCACGGCCCTCTGTGTGGAGCAGAGAGCTGCTATCTAGGGTGCCCGGGGAGCAGATGGTGGGGGTTAAAGGTCTTGCCTCAAGGGCCCAGAGTGGGGCAAATGAGGGTGGAGGCAGGTGTGGGTGTTTCACTTTTCCCACACATATTTTGATGTCAGTCCGGTGGATCGAACCAGCAACCTTCCGATCACATGCTTGTCTTCTCTAATCACAAATACACTTGTCCAGCACAAACTAGGTTATTACCCTCTGATCGGTCAAAGCAGATGGCCGCTTGTCCTGAGCCTGGTTCTGCTGGAGGTTTATTCCTTTTAAAAGGGAGTTCTTCCTTTCCACTGTTGCCACTGTGCTTGCTCAGGATGGGAGACTGCATTGAAGCCAAGATTCATCTTGTCTGCTGGATTCCTTAGATAGAGAACTTTACTAAATGGCTTTTATGTATGTGAATATTTCTGTAAAGTGCCCTGAGACAACTTTGTTGTGATTTGGCGTTATATAAATAAACTGAATTGAATTGAATTGATGAATCATGATTCAAATGTCTTCTGTAAGATATAAGGTGACTTTTATAAAAGTTACAAATCTGACATTTAATAGAAATATAGATTTATTGTTAGACAGAGATTCAAAAGTGAAGATCTAGTTTTAAAAACAAGTGCCTCCAAAACACACAAACAAACCAACAAATCAACAAAACAACTAACTAACTAACTAACTAACTAACTAACTAACTAACTAACTAAC